GTACAACCACAGTCATAAAGTTTTCAATCAGTAGTTTTATTTCAGTATGTATTTTTCCAGTATCACAAAAAATGTAATTTTATATGGTTAAAACCATCTAGCTTATGTGCACTTTTTAAAACACTGCCCAGCAAACATTCGGACGTTTAATGACAGTTGAACGGTCACAACTGTAAAATACCTGAAATTAAGAAAAATTAACATGACATCTACTGCATTTTCCTTGCCCGGACTCGAACCTGGATCCTCCGGGGCGAGAGTCACCCGCTCTCCCAGCTGAGCTATGCCAGCAACTACTGAACATCAGACTTTTTTATATAGATAGAGGGTAAAGTGCGGGGTGAACTAACCAATCAGAGGACAGATAAGATCTGCCACAGGCCACGCCTCCAGAGTGCCAAAAGCCCTTACAGCCGAGCAAGCAGGAGTCAGAAACCGAGCGCGCAGAGAGGCTGCCGAGCGCGCACAGAGGCTGCCGCGCGCGCACGTTTTCCTCTGCCGTGTGCTCGTTGACAACGCGCGCACGCAGGTTTGTCACTTGTGCACATCCTTGTGCGCTCACAGACACAGTTTGCTCCCTCTCAGTGCACAAATGACCTCTCGCCATGTATATTTTCGCTCGCGAGTCCCGTTCACACGCGCGCGAGTCCCGTTCACACACGCGCTGCCATGTATATTTGCGCTCGCGAGTCCCGTTCACACGCGCGCTGTGGACCCAATGCGCGTGCACGGGTTGTGGCACGCTTTAAACGCCATACAACTAGGGGGAATCACCAGTGTTGGGAAAGTTACTTCCAAACTGTAATGCATTATTTATTACTTGTTACCCTCATTTTAAAGTCATTCATTACATTACAATATTACTGATTTTAAAATGTAAGGCATTACACTACTTTTGCATTACTTTAAGTTACTTTCACCAATACAACTTCAATATTAATCTGGTCATGTGACGCTCAGTGAGTTCATGACATACATGTGGAAGGTGATGTGGTGTCTGAGCTAGGATTGCTGTTAAAAACAGTCAGATATAATAACAATGCTTTAAAATGATTGTTTATTAAATGAAAGCAACAACAATCTGTACTCTCAGCATGCTGCCATCTTATATTAACTGAGCAGGGAGTGAGGTGGTGGGGGCTCCAAGCCTATATTTGCCTTGGTCCCCAAATGCCTTGATACGGCCCTGGATGTGGGACTGACTTCTGGGGTGATCTGATTCTATCACATGTATAAATATTAAATGCTTATATATTATTGCTTTTCACTGGTAAATATGTGTATTGGGGATAAATCTACCTACTTTTTTTCTTTTCAAGCACTTTGTTTTGTTTTCTTGATTTTATTTGAATAATTTCCTGCTCTTTCTCTCTCTAACCTTCCTGCATGCTGCATGTTTTCTCCGTCTTCCAGAAAAACTGTTTCCTAGATTTCCTACTTTCTAACTAATCAGCCAAAGGGATCTACCCAACGCAAAAAAGTTTAATATGCGCTGCGCTCCAGCAGCAATGAGTTGAAATCACTGAGGCACAGATTATGAACTCAGCTGAAAAGTACATGAAGTACCAGAGAATATGGGCTGATATTATTATATATTATTTCACTCAAATATTGTACTCACTGGAATGCTTGTATTCTGGTTGGCAATTGTATTCTGATTTGAAGTTTGTATATTTAAATTTTGAGTGAAATAAAATTATTGAATTGAAATTGAATTGAAATTGAAATATAAACAATCGCAAATGAATGATTTTGTTTTGGTGGAGCGGTTTTGTGAATATAACAGCGGCCGCGCGCAGGACGCAGGACGAGTATTTGAGCCATCACCGCTGCGTCCTCTCTGCTCATAGAATACCTGCAAAGCTGAGTCCATAAATGACGTCATATAAGTGGACACTGGATCTTTTTTCAGGCTTCCCGCAATTTGAATTTTTAGGAAACCCACATCTTGATTCTGGGTTTAAAAATACATTGTAATTACCGTGTTACTGACAATTGTACCAAGTAAATATTACCATTTTCTTTCCCTGTAATGCCTTACATTACCACATTACAGCAAAAAGCAATGCAGTACAGTAATTAATTACTTTTGTACCGCGTTACTCCCAACACTGACAATGGAACTCACATTTTTCTGCTTTTACAAACAGGTTGTTTAGAAGAAGGCGGAGTAGCACAGCGTGTACATGTTCCTTGTGGGTCTCTGGATCAGGAGAAAAAACTAAGATGTCATCAAGATAAACAAACACAAAACGTCCCACCATGTCTCTAAGAACATCATTGATGAGAGCCTGAAGAACAGCTGGTGCGTTAGTTAGGCCAAATGGCATGACAAGATACTCACAGTGTCCTGTGGGGGTGTTGAATGCCGTCTTCCATTTATCGCCTTCACGTATGCGAACCAAGTGACAGGCATTGTGTAGATCCAGTTTTGTAAGCATCTGGGCTCCTTGAAGAGAGTCAAAAGCGGTGTTTATGAGTGGTGAGGGAGAGCGGTTCTTTATGGTAATGTCATTAAGGGCTCGGTAGTCGATACATTTACCTCCACTCATTTCCAGTGACGTAAGGGAATCTGATGTTGTTGTTATTTTGCTGGAGGTTGCACTCCCAGGGATTTTTGACCCTAGTGGCCATCTGTTGGAAAGGTCTTATTTAAACACAAAAATAATACTTGCTTGCAGTGTTTAGGTATGTGCGGCCCCCTGTCGCCAGGAAACCTACACACTGCCGCGTTAAAGTCAACATGACAGAAAATACTAGGGATGATCCGATCACGTGATCGGAAATCGGGTCAGATCACATGTTTTTGAAAGGATCGAAATCGGGAGAAATAAATCAGATTTAACCTTTTAAAACAATAAACATGACTTTAAATTTCATCCTGGGATAGAGGTTTTCAAATAGAATAAAAATGGCTTAGTTTTAATTTCAATATGTCTGTCTACATCAATTATATTTGTTTCTTGTAGGAAAACAATACAATAATGTAAAACAATTTATGGAAGGCAAGGACTCAGAACCAATACCTCAGAGGTCATCGCCACCAGCAGCCTATCCATACCGACCTATCTGACCTCCTGGATCACCCGGGGACCTTCAACATGAGTTCGTAGACTCAGCACAATGTCGTCGGCTGGTTTTTCTCGTCGACTGATAGTTTGTTGACTCATGCAGTAAGACTGATTTTACAACCCAGACGTCACAAATTTCTAAGACTTAAAAAGGTTTTGCTACGTAACATCTAAGCTTACATTCCATTCATTGTTTCAGTTATCTTGTTTCAGCCATCATGCATCATAATTTTGTCTGTGTCATTAGTTTAGAAATATGGTGTTACATTTTTAGTTTAAAAACTATGTTTTTGACTCTGTCTGAATTATGATGAAGTGTGTGTCCCTGGCAGGCCAAAGAACCTAAGATCATCATAATAAATCAAATGTTCAAAGACCAATGAGATTGATCATTTGTATTTAAATGGAATATCACATCTTATTGATGATTTAGTAAAAGTAATCACTTCCATCACATTACATATTATGGTGTAGTGTTAATGATTAGCTACTTATTTATTAAATAATCAATAAGATGTGATGTTCCATATAAATATGAAACATGAATCTGATTGGTCTTTCAATGTTTTATCAGAAGACTTTAGTTTTTTTTTTACTTATTCAGGGAACACACACTACACATTCATCCAGACAGAGTCCAGCATATATATAAAATGTATTTTTAATTCTATTTTCCTAAACTAAATGATTGTACATGACAACGTATGTTGCAGCAGTGGCAGGGCTGATTCTAAATTGGGACAGCTGGAGGAATCAAAGTGGAGGTAATCAGTGAGTGGAGCCAGGTGCTGCATCTCCTCTCCTCTCACTCACATACAGGGGAAACAAGAAGATAATTAAAATGCAAAAAAAAAAAAAACAAATGGCCCAGGGCTGTAACACAACATAACTACAGCAAACATTCCTTCTTGACAATGTGTGCCTCTGCTTTGAGAGATAAGTGTAAAAGTAAAAGGATGTGACGTGTGGACACTGAAACAGCTGTGCAGATGTGTTGGTGCATGTGCTTTAGCCGCTTCTGCATCTGGGTCAGTACGGGCTGGTTTTATAAATATATATATATATATATATATATATATATATATATATATATATATATATATATGTGTGTGTGTGTGTGTGTGTGTGTGTGTGTGTGTGTGTGTGTGTTGTTGTTGTTTTCATGGTGCGACGAGCATGATGCACGGTCCAAAGTGATTGACAAGAAAGAAAGGAAATGACCGATCAAAGTTCATGCAACAGTGTCCCCCCAACACCCCCCCCCCCCCCCCCCCGTCCTGTCTGGCTGTGAAGCAAACAGAATTCATGTCTGAATGCTGGTGACAAGCCTTACAGATTTACTCTCAGGTGAAGCATCAAAGCATCTGCTTTTAATGTCACGCCTGATACTTAAAACTTTATTGTTATTGTTTTTGAGTGCTTTGTAATTCTGACCAGACATGGAGACAGAGGTGAAAGAGAAAGGAAGAGACAAAAGGTGGGGAGAGGGGGTGGGGGAAGGGGTGGGGTGGGGGGGTGGTTCCACAAAAATAGACAATAATGAACAAGAGTCTGCTTCTAGACCTGCAGAAAGAGAAAGAGCAGAAGAAATGGGACACACAACAATACAACAGGAGCAAGCTATCACTGCGTCAGAGTGATGATGAAATATAAAATCAACATTGTTTAACTGAACAATCACATGATAATAAATCACATTTCATTTAGTGCCAACCACAGCCTTAAGACATGTGTTGAACGTGTCCAAGCCCATACTTTTGAGAGCACCATGTGAGCACCTGTGTGTGTACACACGCTTGTTTATGTAAGGTTTCTCTATAAAAGCGTCCAATAGAGAGTGTGAGGGACCACAGATCCGCCCCCCAAAGATGTGTAGGAGACATCAATAAGATGTGATATTCCATTTAAATATAAATGATCATTCATGACTTCATTAATGCAAGCTTTTAGTATTTACACTTCAGAAACTTCACAAACATATTCCAAATACATCCTTCCTGAGATTTTCCACTTAGACATCAGCAAACATCAGCTTCAGGACAAAATCAGGATGAATTTCTCTAGAACCTAAAGAGTACCAAAATAGCTACAATCAGTCCTTATAATTAATTCATATTTAAATCCTCATTAATTAAACCCAAAAGAAACAAATGTGTAAGCTCTCAAAGCTGACTCAACTGTTTATTATTGATTTAATTACAGAATAAAAAACTATGAATTTGAAAAGTATTTTATTCAAACTGGGACTAAACATGTCAGCCTGAATTACTGAACAATATCTGCTTTTTCATTGTGTTTCTAAAATATCTTTATTCTGTTCAAATTAATTTCTACTTTGATTTTATGATTGTTTTATTGCTTTTTTGTTACATCTTAAATTTCTGAAAAAGATTATGATTTTGATCTACTTTAACTTGGTTTGATTGTTTTGTATGGTTTTGGGAGTATTTAGTGATTATTAAAAAAAACTAAATCTAACATGACACTTTATGCCAACAATTTACTTCCTGAAAAATGTCAATATTTAATTATACATTTTTAAAAAGATTACTTGATTTAATTTATCTAAACCATACCATCATTTATTTGTTTATCACTTTAAAAACAATATGTGGTCCACAAAAGGGCTTTACAGCACAAATTTAAAAGGTACAACAAAAACAAAACAAAGCATACATGGTAAGATAACAGTCAGATGCCAACTAAACTAAAAATCAGCTAATAAAAGTAAGTTTGGATTTAAAGACTGCCACCACAGAAGACTGTCTGGTGAAGACCATGGAGCCATAACCGAGAAAGCTTGGTCTCTTTAGGTCTAAAGCTCTGTAGCCTTGCTCTGTAACAGCTGATCAACTAACCGGAGTGAAGAAGGGGACATAAGGCTAAAGCAAACTGGACAAGTTAACATATGCCAAATCATTTAATGACTTGAAGGAGTGGGTGACTTGCTTAATCAATATATTTGCAGAAGTCTCTAGTAAGAATGAATGCCTTGTAAGTCAGTCCCAGGGAGAACAAGCACCATCTTACACTGGTGATCTTCTTAGTCCCTACACCCCCAGCAGGTCCCTGAGGTCCAGTGATCAAAGCCTACTGGTTGTGCAGCACCAGGCTAAAGACCAAAGGTGACAGATAATCTGCTGCTGTGGCCCCCAGACTCTGGAACTCTCTCCCCCTGAGCCTGAGATCAGTGGACTCAGTGGTCTCCTTTAAAAAGCAGCTGAAGACTCACCTGTTCAAGCTGACTTTTGTATGACCTTCTTCACCACTCTCTTTATTCTGCTCTCCCCACCTATTCCACCTTCCTCAGGATCCACTGATTTCCCTCTTTCCTGTTCACTCTCTCTCTTTCTTTACATATTTTTATCACAATTGTCTATTTTTTGCTCATTATACATTTTTAACCATTTTCTAAATGCTTTTTTATATTTTTTACATTTTTTGTTTTTGTGAAGCACCTCGTAATTTTTACTTGAGAAGCGCTATAGAAATGATTTCTTCTTCTTCTTCTTCTTCTTCTTCTTCTTCAGCAAACATACTGGTGCATATTATCTCCAACCTAAAAGTTCCCACATCACAGCTGAGCTTCAGACGGCAGGTTTTGGAGCCTTTGCTGATATTTGGACGTCTCACCCCAAACTGGATAACGGCAATGCGACTCTACCACTGACTTGCAACATGGATGTTTTATCTACACAAGTAAAACAAGCCTGCAGAAGCGTCTGCCGTGTGGTGAAGTTGCTAACGCTAACGGTTAGCTTAAAGTATCCAAGACTTCTGCTGCTAATTACCGGATGATAATACAACAGCCTTCTCCAATGTGAATTAAGATTGGTGAGTCTATGAATGCTTATTCACAGCATGACGTAGAGCTGCGCGAATTTTCAAGTACTAGATTTTCACAGTATATCTTCCTTCAGAAGCTAATGCAGGAGATAGGTGTGGAAGAGTATTTTCACTTTCAGCTTGCATGAAAAACTCAGAGTGACCGAATATAATCAACTATACCTTTAAACACCAATAAAAGTATTTTAAATCCATCTCTAAAATCAGTTGGAGCAAAAGTAAAGAGGCCATGATTGGAGGAATATGCTCAAATGTTCTTTTGCCAGTTAAAAAACGTGATGCAGCATTTAGCACCAGGAGCAGGCAAGACAGAGTGTTCTGACTAACCTCTATTAATAGGGAGTTGCAATAATCCAAATGTGAAGTTACAAAGGCGTGGATGACTGTTTTCCAATCCCACTAGAAAATAAAAGGCTTTCCCTGAGCTTATCGTCTTGGGTGATAAGATGAAGAACTCACAACCAGAATTACGTGATAAACAAAACTGTGTGAAGCATCAATTTTTACATCAAGTGATTTAACCGAGCTCATCAGCTGAGGGGTCAAGGTAGCACAGTTGAAATACATGGTACCAGAGGAGCAATTGGAGCAACATAAAATACTTTCCATTTTTTGCTCATTAAATTAAAAAAGTTCACAGCTAACATCACAGAGGCTCATAAGAGGACTAACAGTGAGAGTAAGACGGACAGCAGCAGAGGGACTGAGAGGGAGATGACGTGAGCTGCTGATTTGGAGTCGGTCCCGTAGTTGATGTAGCCTGGCTGATCACCGGTGATCTGGCTGTTGATCCAGGACTGGTACATAGATACACGTGTGTAGACTCCCGGGAAGTTCGGCTGAGCACAGCCATTTCCAAAACCCACAATTCCAGCTTGGACCCACCGAGTGACATTTTTTGCAACCAATGGGCCTCCAGAGTCCCCCTAAACATGTCAGAGAGAACAGTGAAAGGGTCATGTGAAAATAAACAAACCTGCTTTTGTTTAAAGTTTTACAAATCGGGGTAGAAAAATGTTAAACTATAATGTTTTATTCATGAACTAAGACTGAAATAAAAGTGCCCCAGAGAGTGAGAGTGGTCCACATTGCAGATCTTAGCTGAGTGTGAAGCAGCTGGGAAGAGAATCAGCTCCTAAAGGGCAGAATGCCTTCTCCAGGTCAGGGATCAGGTCCTGCTTCAAGTGGAGGAGGGTCTTGTTCATGAGTGAGGGACTGATGGAGCTCAGTCGGATTGGTGCTACCTCTGCAGTGATGCCGGCATTGTACCAGTCTGTCGTGGTGAAGAGAGAGCTGAGCCGGAAGGCCAAGCTCTTGATTCACCCATCAATCTATGTTCCTATTCTCACCTATGGTCATGAGATTTGGTAGTGACCAAAAGAATGAGGCTGCGGATACAAGTGGCTGAAATAAGTTTTCTCTGCAGTATCTGGGCTCTCCCTTAGAGATAGGGTGAGAAGCTTGGTCATCCGGGAGCGGCTTGGAGTAGGTCAGTTGACATGGCTCGGGCATCTGATTAGTTTGCCTCCTGGAAACCTGCCTGGTGAGGCAGGGCACGTCCAACTGGGAGGAGACCTAAAGGAAGACCCAGGACACGGTGGAGGGACTATGCCACTCGGCTGGCCAGAGAATGCCTTAGGATTCCCCCAGAAGGGCTGGCCCAAGTGGCTGGGGAGAGGGAAGTCTTGGCCTATAAATATATCTGAAGCCAGGCCTGAAGTTTGGGCACGTAGGCGGGCTTTCACCCATGGAGCATCTTTTGTTTGTTATAAGTTTTTCTAAATGTTACATTTGGCCTCTATACTCATCTCCCAGGACTGGATTGTTGCTGTTGACATTCAGAACCTACCTGACAGGAGTCTTTTCCTCCTTGAGGCAGACCAGCACAAATCATGTTGCTTGTGATTGGGTCTGGGCTGTAGTCAGCCATGCACTGATAATTGGACATTATAGGGACATTCACTTCCTGCAGTGCCTGAGGGGATGGTAGGGGAACTAGACAGAAAAAAAAAAACAGATTATGAAAGCCTAGATGGCAAAGACTTGCTAAATAAACAAAATGAGCATTAAAACCAAAAACAACTTTAACTCATTTTAGATTCTTGGTTGTTTTTTTTTTTTGTTTTTTTTTACGTAATACTGTTTAGATTTTTGTGTTGAGGTTCTCTTTGGGAGTGACGAGGATGGATAGAATAAGGAATTAGTCCATCAGAGGGACAACTCATATTAGATGTTCTGGAGATGATGTCAGAGAGGCCAGACTGAGATGGCTTGGACATGTCCAGAGAGACAGCAATTACAAAGGTAGAGGGATACCAAGGCTGGAACCACCGGGCTGAGAGAAAGACCAAAAATACATTTGTGGATGTGGTGAAAGAAGACACAGAGTTAGCTGGTAGGATAGAGGGTAGAGGATGCAGAAGACAGGACTAAACAGATGCTGTGCTGTCCGAACTTTTGAATGAGAAAGAAGAAAAAGAAGTGAAAGTGAGAGTGGTATTATGGTATATTTTTCCAGATCATCTAAAGACCTCCAACATGGTGGTTTGCCACCAGAAAGGCACGCAGAAAACTAAGTCCAATAGAAAGACAACAAGTTGTGGCAGAAATTAAAACAGCATTAGGTCTGAAACAAAAAACTCACCAGGTTATGATTAGATTCTCAACAGGTTCTTTAAACAGGAACAAACCCTGAACCAGGACAGGAAATACACTTTAGTTGAATTCAGCCAGCAGTTCTTTAGGGATCCTCTTGTTGGAGTTCAAGTCTTGCTTTCTGTCTGTGGAACTGTAATGCTTGGTGTTTTTCAGACTCAGTTAGAACAAATGGGAAGAATTTGTGTCTCCATGACAAGTTAACTGCCTGTTTATAGAACCTTTTCCTGCCTGGTTGAGGTCAAGTAAAAATAGTCAGAAACAAGAACTGAAATTGAGTGGAAGAGAAGCCAAAGACCTTCAGAAGGTATGGAGAACAACTGATTAGGACTTTGAAAACTGACAAGTGGAAGGAAATGCGAAGTTTTCACTCTGACTTCTGCTTTATCCTTTTGCTGCATCGTCTTTATCTGAACTAACTTTGTATGTGTGGTTTTAATCAAACTACAACAACAACAGAAGCAACAGCACCACTGCATGGATCCTCACCGTCACTTCTGATGTATCCCCAGCCCGTGACCCAGCTGTCCAGCCCAGCGGGGAAGTAGCTGCCTGATGCTGCCAGACAGATGGGTGTGATGTAGTTGGTGAAGGTCACAGGAGAGGACAGCTGCAGCAGGGTGATGTCGTTGTCGTTGGTTTGGCTGTCGTAGTTTGGATGTTTGATTATCTGGGACACTGTGCTGGAAACCTCATTGGGATTCTGGATTTTCTGAGTATGTCGTCCCAGATAAACAATCAAATTTGCAGTGCTGGTGCTGAGAAAAAACAATCAGAAGGTTGGATACTTTCAGGATGCTGAGATATTTGAAGGAAAGTGATCACATGATTAGGACTTACCTGGGAAAGCAGTGGGCGGCTGTTAGAACCCACTGGCTGTTGATCAGAGAGCCGCCACAGAAATGTCCCCCTCTGAATAGGCTGACCTGCCAGGGCCACGCCCCCGCAGTCGCATCCTGACCCCCAACAATCCTGGTTTTTGTGTTGAGTGGAGCGACGCCACAAACTGCAGGGAAATATTCTCATATAAAAGCTCTGCAAAAGCTGACACTTTAGGTTTTCAGGTTTACTATATCGGGCTGCGCAGTGGCGCCGTGGTTAGAGCTGTTGCCTTGCAGTAAGAAGGTCCGGGGTTCTCTTCACGGCCTGGGATCTTTCTGCATGGAGTTTGCATGTTCTCCCTGTGCATGTGCAGAGCCGTGTCCAGGACTTTTAAAATGGGGTGGCCCATGTGGGGCACTTGTTTATGCATGGGTGGCAAAAGTGGTTATGCTTAGTTATTTATTTACACAAATCGTTTATTAATTTATTTACTTTCTAGTGAATTTTGGAGTTTCACATTGCACAATCACCATTTTTTTCTATTCATCTTCTAGTTTTGTGGTGGTTAGCAAGTCACTTCTTGTTGCATTATTGCCACCAACTGGAGTTGAGTGGGGCTCTAAATACTATTTATGTGAATATGAAAAATTAATAAATAATATTAATACTACAGAAAGGTTCTGTAGGCCTGGGCTAGAAGACAATGTGAAAGGTGCATGCTACCACACACTATTTTTGGAGTTTACAACTCAAGCCTTTTGTCGACAATGCAAAGTCAATTTAAACTGGAACTTAGTAGGGTGGCACCTGGGGTGGCCAATCAGATTCTAAGGGTGGCATGTGTCACCCCAGGTCACTCCCTGGACACGCCCCTGTGCATTCCTCCCACAGTCCAAAAACATGACTGTTAGGTTGACTGGTCTGTCTAAATTGTCCGTGTGTGTGTGTGTGTGTGTGTGTGTGTGTGTGTGTGTGTGTGTGTGTGTGTGTGTGTGTGTGTGTGTGTGTGTGTGTGTGTGTGTGTGTGTGTGTGTGTTTGTCCTGTGTGTCTCTGTGTTGACCTGCGATGGACTGGCTCTCTGTCCAGGGTGTGCCCTGCCTGATTGCCCGTTGACCGCTTGAGATAGGCACCAGCACCCCCCGCGACCCTACATGGACAAAGCGGGTTTGGAAAATGGATGGCTGGAGGTTTACTATATCAGTGGGTTTAAAAAAATGTTTCCTGCATCTTCTTTAGATAATTTAGCCTCATTTGAGTTTGCAAATAACATTTTTAGTTATGCTTAGAGTTAAATAGCACAAGTCAAAGAAGATAAAAACCAAAAAACTGCAGGTCAAAAAAAATAACCGATTTTATTCTTGAAAAAAAAAAGAAGAAAAAAACACTGAATACTGCTAAACAAATCCTGGTGAATCGCAGACAGGTTTTCAGTCCTGATTTATTAACCAGTGTAATTCATTAAGATTTCAGATATTTGAAAATGTTTGAATTAGATTTGTATAACAGAGGAAACAATAACGGAAACAGAAAGAGAACTCACCACTTATCTGTGCATAACTTCCTGTAGGAAAAACGGCAAACAAAGAAGATCAGAACAATTTTAACAAAACTGTCAACAAACAGAACCAACATGAACGTTTCTCTGAGATAAATCCCCCCAGCCCGTAATCTTTCACAGCATCATAAAACCTTTTTAGAAGTAGTTTAATTAAAACACAATTTAATTGTCAGTTGATACTAAGGAGTTGTTTTGGGGCAGACAGGTTAACCAGGTCATGTGACCTGGCTGCCAGAAGAAAAAGTGTTTGAAACAGGAGTTCATGCTTCTGTTTCTCACAATAACATTAAAGCTTTGTAAATTGTGCAAAAGTAAAGGTGAGGAAAAACCTCGTAAGACGACATAAAATGACCCAAAGAGCTAATGAAGGTTTGAGAAACTTCCTCGACTCCAGAATTTTACCTCAACAAAGAGAGAGAACTAAAGTTTCAACATTTGAAACTCCACAAAATAATGCATTCAGGATTAATTTGTTGATTTTTTTCAGTATTTTAAACAAATTTTTACTTAATAATTTTACGTTTGTTGCATTAAAGCTGCAACTTTGGTAAACAGACACATTAACTTAAAGTTTTTATTTTTTTCAATGCCTCTTAACAATGTTCTAACATAGTATAGCTATAAATATATCTCATATTTGTCTGAAAACACCTGCCAATAACACTTTTCAGACTGACAGCAACCATTGGACCATCCGGTTGTCGGTCTCACCAAACTGCTGCACTTCCGTAGGTCCTCCACTCATTACATACTCATGTATTTAGCAACACAACACCACTGGTGTGAAAGGTTCTCCGCTCAATAATATCAGAGAAGGAGAAACAGCCAGCTGCTACCACTTCCGCTTTACGACAAACTGCTAGTGTCCCAAAAAGAAAAACACCATTCGTGTCACGTGAAGGTGAGCAGGTGAGAGAGACAGGCAGGCTGGTGATGACGTTTTAGGAAGGTTTTAATAAAGATAATGCTGACACTGAAATAATGGACAGACAAGGAACACAGAACTGGGAGGGTTTGAATGCATGAGGAGCTGGGACCTTGAGTGATTGGGAGATGAGAGGCAGGTGGGAGCAATTAACACGGACACAGGACTGAACAGAATGGGGAGACAGGACAGGTTGTGACAATTTGAAGTCATGACACCAGCATTACAACCAGTGTGAATTTTGTTGACTAAATACTTTCGGGGGTTTTTTTTTTCATGACGAATAAATTTTCACTGACTAAAATGAAACACAAAAAACAAAAACATACACACCAATAAAGACTCAGTTATGACGAATATTGGCCAGCATTTTTGTTGACGAATACGAGACGACAACAAAAACAAAAAAAGTTGTGAAACCGGAATAAAGAATCAGCTAATGGAAGAGATGGGACTAGATGAGAAAAGAACTGTTGGGATGTTCAAATTTGTGAACTCATGTTCTAAGATGTGTAAACTGAAGTGTTATTGAGAAGGTTGTGCTTTTAGTTTTTCACCACCAGAGGGGCACGCACACTGCATCATGGCGTAACGGTCATTGAGGAGAACGTGGTCTCTGGTGTCGGTGTTAAAAATGTGTGTGTGTCGCAGTTCTAAAATAAAGACACCAGAGGAAAGCATTCTTGGTCCCATCTTTTCTTTCTTCGAGTTCAACGTTGCTGATGCTGCAACGCTCAACAAGAACCAATCAGAGTCCGGAGCCAGCTGCTGTTTGAACAAGCTGTTCCTAACCAGACATCATACACTGATGTTTATGCCGGCAAAAATTAAAAGGGAGAAAATGTTCGCGGCTGGGAGTAAAAGTAGTAGATGTGACAATCTGAAAAGTATTTTCTTGGTGAGTACACATCTGGGGTTTCCTTTGGTTATGAAAGTGTTATGGCGTTAGTAGCAAGCTGGGGCGGGAGAGGGGGTGCTGGAGTTCAGCAAACTAAACTCCGCTCACGGAGCAGTGCATCGCACATTTTGTTGTCTAATAGCTTTTTTTTCATGGCGCTGTTACAGCCATATCAACGTTGTTGGGAGGAGACGTGTTTGACATGCATTTTGTGTGTTGTAATCCGTCGTGCGGATTTACTTGGAGTGAATAAACAATGTGAGCAGACCTACCTTGTCGTCCTTCCTCCACATTATCCACATATCCCTGTGAATGGATATGTTTGCGAACAAAGAGTCAGCTGCCCCGCCCCGCTGAACACAACCGGACCCGCGCCAGAACAGCAGTTTTCTTATTTGTTTGCCATTAAGCTTCCAGACTTTAGGCAGCATGATCCTCAGTCTTGGTTTGCTCACACTGAAGCGCAGTTTGCCCTGCGTGGAATTTCTGCTGACGACACGAAATACCACCACATGGTTGCATCACTGGTTACTTTGTCCACCCGCCAGGCCATGAGCTTGATTCAGGATCCTCCAGCTCAACGAAAATGCACATCTCTGAAGCAGCTTCTGGGAAGACGTTTCTCCCTTTCCGAGCAGATTTCCCCCATCAGCTTGGGTGATGGCACAGCTCTGGAGATGATGGAGAGCATGCTATCCCTGCTTGGTTCTTAAGGTGACAGATTCCTCTTCATGCGCCTCTTCCTTATCTTACCTTACTGGCCGCACTCAGTTCATCCAGTTAAAATCCTTTACCTCAGAACCCTCCCCAGTCAAGTCAGGTGTGCCCCAGGGCTCTGTCCTGGGGCCCCTCCTCTTCATAGTCTATCTCCTCCCTATCGGCAAAATCTTCCGCAAATTCAATATCCAGTTTCACTGCTTTGCAGATGACACCCAGCTCTACATTTCCAGTAAGCCAAACTCAACTCTCCCACCATCCTCCCTTACACTCTGCCTCTCTGAAATCAAATCATGGTTCACCTCTAATTTCCTCAAACTCAACGGCAATAAAACTGAACTTCTTCTTGTTGGCACTAACTCCACCCTCTCAACATCTGACAGCTTTTCTTTAACTATTGACAGCGCCACAGTCTCCCCCTCACCTCACGTCAAGAGTCTGGGTGTCATTCTCGACAGCTCACTTTCTTTTCAGGCTCACATTAATAACTTAATTCGGTCAGCATACTTCCATCTACGTTCCATTAACCGTCTCCGTCCCTCACTGACCCCTCACACTGCCGCCATTCTCGTCCACAGCCTCGTCACCTCCCGTATCGACTATTGCAATTCACTTCTTTATGGTCTTCCCAACAAACTCCTTCATAAACTGCAACTGGTCCAGAATTCAGCAGCCCGTATTATCACCAGAACCCCTTCCTTTCACCACATCACGCCGGTTCTCCAGCAGCTTCACTGGCTCCCAGTTAAATTCAGGTCCATCTTCAAAATTCTCCTCCATACCTTCAAAGCAATCCACAACCTCTATCCTCCATATATCTCAGACCTTATAAGTATTCACACCCCGTCCCGTTCACTCAGATCTTCTTCTTCCATCCATCTTGCGGTTCCTTCTGCCCGTCTCGCTACCATGGGGAGCAGAGCTTTCAGCCGCTCTGCTCCTCGACTCTGGAACTCACTTCCCCCAGACATCAGGAACGTCGACAGTTTTACCCTTTTCAAAACAAAACTCAAAACACACATGTTTAAATCTGCCTACAACCTCTGATTTTATTGAAATGTTTCTCTCTGTTTTTTCTTCTTTGGGTTTTATTATTGTTTTATTGTATTTTATTACGTGTTTTGTGTAAAGTGACCTTGGGTGTCCTGAAAGGCGCTTTGAAATAAAATGTATTATTATTATTATTATTATTCCTGCGATGACTCCTGGCTCTGGTGCAAGCCAGCCTCACAAACTCCTTAGTGCTGAAGCAGAGGGATTACTGCTAGCACGTGATAGCAATGGCAGCTGTTGGCGACTCGAGGAGACAGTTTTTGGTGGATTCTGGTTTTGAAAGGATCCTCACTTCCTCGACTGTGGCCGATAGGTTAGCAGAGGGCTGCAGCTAGGCCTCTGTTAGCCACAGCTAACTTGGTGAAAGGTTGGTGGTTGTGTGCCTTAATAAACGTGACTTTCAGTGGAACTTTATTAAAGCCGCAAGTTCAGCTCCTATTTTAGGCACTGATTTCCTCTGTGCTCAATGTTCTGGTTGATGTTGCTAACAAACGTTTGGCTGATTTCTTTGGTTTCCATGCTTTGTGTTTCACAGGGGGCAGAGGCAGTAATGCATGCACATTTCCTTTTAGCTGGCGATGTTTTTCAGCAAGCGTTGTCTGAATTCCCCATTTTAATTGAACCCAAGAGCCTATGCACCTTCACTAGCTCTGTTGCTAAGCACGGTGTTGAACATCGTACCCACATTGGGCCCCCCAGTTTTTTCATGTGCTCATCGCTTGGAGTTTGCTAACATGGAACGCTTAGGCACTGTGTGCAGGCCCATAGGCCTCGACGTTGCACATGGCGCCCAAAGCTGAAGGGCAGTGGTGTACCTGTGGGGACTTCCTTCACCTTAACAACATAACAACAAATGATCGGTACCCCATCCCCCACATCCAAAATTTTTCTGCTCACCTAGCTGGGATGGACATTTTTTCAGGGTAGTTTTGGTGCAGGGTTATCACCAAGTTCCTGTGAACACTGACGGCGTTCCTAAATCCACTGTTATCACGTCATTTTGCCTTTTTGAATTTTTATGCATGCCCTTTGGTGTCAAAGGCACAACACAGACGTTCCAGCGGATTTCGTTTTGTGCAACCTGTCCTTCATTTTCATCTATTTAGACAACATATTGGTCACCAGCTGCTCCGTCGAGCAGCATTTGGACCACCTGCGCCAAGTTTTCTGGAACTCAGATCACCGTCAGAACCAGGTCAAAATCGACCACCAGAAGAGACGCGCGGCTCAGTGGGCCAGTCGAGCTGGTTTCTGGGTCGGAACCAGATTAGAACCACTGCAGACCTCCAGGAGACGATCATGTGCAGCTTTTTGAAATACCAGCTCGACTGGCTCTCATGGTGTCTGGGTCAGATCCAGCTCACAGAAGCCTGCAGGAGCTCCAGAACCGGATCACAGGCGTCTCTCTCT